TTTAATTTACTTGTACTACTCTTGTAGGGGCTAAAGGTTACTAAAAGCAAGCATTCTTTCCCCGTGTCCCTATTGTTTTTAGTAACATTTATACTGCCACATTCCCTTTAATTAAACTCCACTGGGACTCTTATAAGGGTGTTTGTTACTGAGTAGTGTATTGTAAGTTCTGAGTCTTGTAATGGTGAATGTTTAATACTTCACCTAGGCAGCAATATAGGGATTGTGTGATGGGGTTGGGGGTGTCAGCGTTACTCAATCTGTTCATTAACCATGCTTCATGTATCCCATCCCTGTCTTGTCTCCCTTTCTTTTTATACCATCCCTATATGCCTCTTTTTTAAATTCGCAGGATTTTTAATTACTTGCCTCCACTCATGTTTATATACTACTACGTATTATCTCTGTGGAAGGGGGCAAGCCCCTATAAAAATTAATAATAGAGAAAAAATGCCTGTTGTCGTCATGGACATGATATGCATACCACGTTTCATCTCCATGTGTGCTGCAGTTAGCAGGTTTGAGGAGTGAAGAAAAGTGTCTGAGGCTATTTGTTGTTGTGGTCGTCATGGAAACGATATTACACAGATGTGTACCAAGTTTCACCTCCATGTGTGCTATAGTTAGCACGTTTTAGGAGTTTTTAAAGAAATGTGCCTGAGGCTATTTGTTGTTGTGGTCATCATGGAAATGATGTAATACACGTGCGCACCAAGTTTCACCTCCATGCGTGCTACAGTTAGCAAGTTTGAGGAGTGAAGAAGTAATTTTAAAGAAAAGTGCCTGAGGCTATTTGTTGTCGTGGTCATCATGGAAACGATGTAATACACATGCGCACCAAGTTTCACCTCCATGCGTGCTACAGTTAGCAAGTTTGAGGAGTGAAGAAGAACTGGACTGTTACCATGCAATTGGCATTTAGTAGTGTGTAACTACACTCTCAAAGTTGGTCCAGATTGCGTTAGAGTGGGTGGGTTTAATGCATGATTGTTCAGTATAATTTGGCACGGCAAACCTGTACACTTGCTCAGAGAGTAATAGGTGACCGAAATCAGCCTATGCTTTAGTCCATATTGTCTGCTTTATCCTTATTTCTACTGATAATTGTGAGAGGGGCTTCTCAAATTATTATAAAGAGAGTAAAAACTGACCCAAGAATTAATGGCCCAACACCACCACTCTGGACATGCTGATTATTTTGTCGTCTGAAGGACCTAGCCTGGACAAATTTTTGATACTGTGGTCGCACAGAAAGGAAGTGAACTAGGAGCATTCAAGATAATATCTCCATTATATTTTAGCCGTGAGGTGTCAACCCCTACTTGTAAAAATACTTTTGTTGCAAGCAGTAACATAAGACCTACAGACCCTCCTCTTCCCCACCGTGATAACACCCTGTTTTAAATCTCACCCTACAGGAAACACTACATCATCTCTAGACAACTGATATATTATATATAGGAAGATCTATTTATACACAACACAATGCACAAGGCACAAGTTATATGGGCCGAGTATGTAAGTGCTCTCTGCACATGACTGTGACCACGACCGCCCCCAAAATGAAGTGTGTAGATTTTTTATTTGTACGTTTATTTCTGAACTGAGCTCAAGGGGGGGTTAGATGTGGTTAAAGTGACATCCTGGTTATCATTTATTTTCAGGCCATTGTCTCTTGCAGACAGTCGTTTTGGGCTTTCATGTCCTAGCAGGTTTAAAGCTGTTGCTATCGTAATCGGTAATGCCAGAATAGCGCGGTCACAGACTAAGTACTGTAACCCACGCTGCACATGCGCACCGAGGGTTAATAAGTACATACCCTTGGCTATAACTCTGAAGAAAAAAGATGCAGAGAGCTCAATGTGTGCACAAATAGGACGGACCCTTGCACATTATGTGTATGTGTTTTGGTCAATGTATGCAGGTATGAACGCCTGAGAAGAGCAGAGGAGGACGATGACATCGAACTTTCTATCTACGAGAAAAAGTAATCTTCCCCGTCTCCCTGGTGGTCATTTTGATTCAAAATGAATGTATACAATAAAAATATGCAATGGTGTATATGCATCAGTTCTCTTTTCAATGGTTGTTGTCATCAGTTCAGTTTTGTCTCATAAATTCCAAAAGCTCGTCACAGTATCTGTAAGACAATACATGTACAATAATTAGTGGATTACAAACTTAACTGCGAGTTATCTATCAATAAGTACGGTAGTACTTAGTATATAGGGATGGGCATGGTACCTAGCATCATAGATGTATGGGGCTATGATAGGGAGTTTTGTTCATCTTCGTTCTTCTCCTTCTTCAGATTCAACATCCATAACTCAAAACGAAATAACATAAAGTAAATGAAGTTTAATGCAGTTAAACGTAGTTAACGCTAGGACCGGCTCTAATATCCTCGGGCCGGCCCCGCGCCGCACACGCAGGAGGCGCGCGCGCTCAGACGCACGGCCGGCCGACATGCACATGCGCGGATGTTGCCTAGCATTTGGTGCGGGAGCGTTCACTCGTTTCAGTGAGCATTTTGCATTTGTAGTGCAGATGGCATCAGTGTCCTATCTTGGCAGCGCAAAAAGTCGGATTGCTCTATCTCGGCAGCGCAAATTCAGTGCATCCTGTTTGGTGATGTCCACAACAACACCCGTAGCCTGTGACAGTCTCGGCGAGCTCTCACCTGTCCGCCTTGACTACTCCGTCCAGAGCCCCGACTTCGGCAGCGTCTCCGTCATCCGTCCTCTTGGACCAGATAGCAGCGCGTTCGTTTCTATGCTCTGCCGCAACTTTAGGTGACTCTCCTAGAGACTCGGCCTCGTCATCCACTGTTTCTAGCCATGTCCCGGCTGCCAGGTCTGCCTCGGGTATGTCACTACCCTACTGTTTGAGTGGTATTTTCTCTAGACTCGCTGCGTATGTATATACGTATTTGTCGGCCTGCAGCTCTTAGCCCCGCTGGGTGCATAGTTGCCCCTCGCCAGTGGGTTTCGCGTGTTTTACTGATGTATAACCCCCCCCCCCCCTTTTGCCGTCACCGGTGTTTGCCCCCTCCATGCTCACACAGCAAACCCCTCTGCTTTATTTAGGACATTCCACCCTGAGTGGCCTGTCCATGCTCGCCCTGCAACCCCCTCCCGGGCCACCTAGGGTGCACAATCCGGGAGTTCACAGTACCCGCAGGTACTTCCTGTTATCACCGGGTTTGCCTATACCCTGTGCAGGCATTTCTCTCCCCGCAACCCTTCCCACTTTTTCGCCGTCAGGCGAGGGAGCCATCAGTGCCAGCATTCTGCCCCCGGTACCTCCCTCCATCTCCTCCACGGTGGGAGACTTGTCTGGTGGTCTCATGCCGGCGGCGTCCTCCATGGGCTCCGCCTCGGGTGCTACCAAATTCCACCCGCCACCGAGTCTGCTCCACAGCGGCCTGTACAACCCCGCAGCGGTTCGGCCTCCTAAGGTGGCCAACCGGATATTGGACTTGGACTTTGTGGAGATGTACGAAATCTCCCTGGATGACCCCCCCTCCACCCACTCCTGGCCAACCCCCCCTCTCAGCTCTTCCACCCATACAGAACATTTCAGTATGGGTGGAGAAGTTGTCGGTGATGGTGGCCCTGTTAGTGTCACGGTTTCCGCAGAAGGCCCTAGAGCTGTTCGCCTATCAGGCTTCGATTGTAGGGCAGAGAGAAACTTCGACGACCGCCGCTGGGAGGCTTACGACCGCTGTTAAAGGAGGGAGGCCTTGGCCCAGAAAAACTTGGACTGGTCAATCCCTAACGCCCACCTCTACAGTATGAGTCAAAATAACGTCAACACCTCTACCCTGCCCTACCCTACCTTACCCTACCTACTCTACCACCCTAAACTACCCTACTCAGCTCTTCCCCTCTACCCTACTGTACCCAACCCAACCCTACCCCCTACCCTACCCTAGTGCGCATTAATTGCTGCGCCACGCCAAACGCACACGCGCGTGCGGTCAGAGTAGCTGCAGCCTGCCCGCGTGGGCGGCGGAGGGAGAACGCGTATCCGGACAGGAGCGCGGGAGAGTGCGTGGCTGAGTGCGTGGCTAGTAGTGCAGTAAGAGGAGTGCGTGGGTGTACAGCAGCTGTAACCAGTCAACTGTCAAAGCAAAATGTCAGAGCGCCAAGTCCTTAGAAAAACCAGATCCGTTATTGTAAACAAGTGGTCAGAAGCGCTTTGAGTGCACATTACTGCCCTGCAGTGTACTACCTAATTGAATGGGAGGGGGAGGGGAGCTGGAGTGTTGTTTCAGGGAAGTTAGTCAGTGAAGGAATTGTTGAAGTAGGGGCGACAATACCAGTTAAAGTTGGCAAAAACACCATCACTGGTAAAGTCATCATCAGCTCAGGTTAGTGTCCCACAACACAATTCAACCCATAGTCAGTCTAACATTACAGGTAGCAACACACAAATGGAATTGAAGTTAGATGAAAATTCTGGGGATTCAGAAGATACTGTTCATGCAGCAGGTTGTACTGCATCCAATAAGAATTATGTAAATTACTTTTTCTGCCTTTTAACATGATATATAGAAAAGACCCCAGAACAGAACCCACACACCAGCCTTGCTAACATGAATTTGTTCCCTATGCAAAGCTTTTACAATCTCTGCACAACTCAACTCTTTTTCATAGTAAACAACTATTCTCTGCTTTACGTATTCCATACTTTCAGAGAGCACTAGAAACGACGATTCTGGCGTCGCTAATTGAGGAAGCCCATTCATATAATCGAATTCCGCGCGTTTTGCGATTGATGCCCCCTTGTCCTTTTGCGCGCCTTTTGCGCGATCGCCACTCAATACGCCGCTCTCTATATACTAGCAGCTAGCGTTTGCTCCTGTCGCGCTGCTCAGCACTAGTGGCGGTGGTCACTACGACGGCGTGTATGTAGAAGCTCTGCCACACTTGCTTGTTAGTCTACTAGCTATACTGTACGCGCTTCGCTGCTGCTCTGCCCCCGCTGGTGCACTGCTTTTACGCCACGATCCTCCTCTGCCCCACCAGCGCAGTGTTTTTTTACGCCACGCTCCGCTGCTCTACTCCTCGCTACTCTGCACTACTCTACTCTTCGCTACCCTGCGCTACTCTACTCTACTACGCATTTCTACCCTTACGCTGCTACTACTTCTACCCTACCCTACCCTTCCTCTACTCTACTCTACCCAAAAATCGTTGACGTTTTTTTGATGCGTACTGTATAATGAGGCATTTACCGGCCACGCGGCGATCATCCCTCAGTGTTGCAGGAGGACCACCTCGCCCAGGTGTGTCCTCGTAACCCGAATCGTCCGTGGTTCGGCTGGCTCAATGACCCAGCACAGTCCAACCTGGGTCAGCAGACGGGCCAATCTCTAGAGTGCTGCCGCAGGTTTAATAGTGGGAAGTGCAAGCAGTCGGCATTCTCCTGCCGCTGCTCTCACCGCTGTGTCGACTGCGGGGGGCCCCCATCCCCGCCTCAACTGCACCAGGGGGAGTCAATGGGGTGGGGCATGGCCGCTCTCCCCTCTCCAGCCGACCCGCCAGCAAGGTCGCCTGCCAGGACCGTCACAGACGTGCCCTCACTACTAGGGAGGAGAGCAGCTCCCCACTGTGCCAACCGCTGTTATATACCCACCCATCTAACCCATCTGCTGGGCTAGTCCTCTGGACCCTCATAACCTCACGTGCTCTTCAAACCTCATATCTGCCTTATTAGTTCTCTGTATCATCGTCGGTCTTTATGTACCTCACTGCACCTCTCCGTTATCAGTTCAGGGTTGTCATTACAGTTAACAGTAACACGGCGTTGCGGGGGTAATTTTGCATAACACGTACTTAAGTTAAATGAGGCCTCGGAAAGGGATCGGTAAGCGTGCATGTGGGGATCGTTTGGGTAGGTCCGGTTTAGCACTACTAGGTAGTTCTCTCCACCCTTGTGGGTGTGACGGCTTTGCGGCCAGCTAAAAGTGCTCCCCATCTCTGTCCTCTCCAGGATGGGAGTGAATGTACTCCTACACAGCAGACCTGATGTGTCTGGATGCCTGCCGCCCTGTTAACCCCATGCCCCTACATGCTGTCGCTACAGTGTCTACCCCGCTGGTTATCCCCGCAAGGGAGGATGCCCTGAAGCCCCACCCGGACCGGGCTTCCTAAGTGGCCTTCGGTGTGGCTTTCGGATCGGATTTGACCGCTCACTACACCTTCAATCGGCCTCGGCCAATATGGCGTCAGCCCAGCTACATCCAGAGGTGATCGACGAGTATCTGGGAAAAGAGTTAGCCTTGGGCCGGATGTTGGGCCCCTTTCCGGTCTCTTTCTCACCACCGGATCTCCAGAAAACAGATTCGGCGTAATCCCTAAAGGACAGTCAGGGAAATGGCACTTGGTCATGGATTTATCCTTCCCACCTGACAGGAGTGTTCATCCAGAGGACCGGCCTCTGCAAGCGGTCCAGTGGCGAGAACAGATTTTTGTGGATCCTATGCTGCCTTTCGGCCTCTGTTCTGCCCCAAAAATCTTTAATGCTGTTGCCGACACCTTACACTGGCACCTTGCGCAAGGTGGCATTCGGTACCTCTACCATTATTTAGATGACTTCATCATAGTGGCTCCCCCTCAGTCCTCCCATTGCCAACAGGACCTCACCCTGCTGCAGCAGGAATGCAGTAGGCTGGGCGTACCCATTGCTGCCCATAAGAACGAGGGTCCGAGTACCTGCCTGGTGTTCCTGGGGATCTGAAGTCGATACTGCAGTGGGGGAACTTAGACTCCCTGAGGATAATTGCAGTCTTCGTTGTTTCAATGGGGTAGTAGGAGGGTGTGTACCCGTAAGGAGCGGGAGTCGCTAATTGGCATACTTAACCATGCCTGTAAAGTAGTGCGGGCTGGCCGCTCTTTCCTGCGGAGGATGATTGACCTGCTCCACTCAAGATCATCTGAGAATCGGCACAAAGGGGCCGTCCCAATCCGCCTCACACCGAGTTTCGGGCTCACCGTAGCCCGGTGGCAATCCTTTGTATATTGTTGGAATGGTATATAATTCGTTCTTTCCAAACCCCCACCAGCTGCTAGTCCATCAGGTGGCCTCCGATGCTTCGGGCCAGTTGGGCTGTGGGGCTTATTCGGGTGTAAATTGGTTCATGGTACAGTGGGACGGAACGACTCAGGAACAATCACAGTGAAGGAGTTGTTGCCGATTCTGCTCGCTGGAATCCTTTGGGGTAAATCCTGGCATAGCCATCGGGTGCTATGTCTCTGCGACAACCAAGCAGTGGTTGCTTGCATTCACTCCCGCTCGAGCAGACACAAGGGCTTAATGCATTTGCTACGGAACTTTGAGGCCTACCTACCATGGCTTTCACCTCGTGCCCCGCTACATCAACATGCATGCTAACCACCTCGCAGATGACTTATCCCGTGATCGTGTCCTCTCCTTTCTTTCAAAGGTCCCCCAGGCCTCTCCTCGTCCAGTTCCGGTCCCACAACACCTCATCAGTCTCCTGTTGAACCCCCAGGCAGACTGTGTACATCCGCGTTGGCGGGAGCAGTTCAAAAATACTTTGAGCAGGGTTTAGCACCGTCTACACGCAAGACCTATGCAGCTGCCTCCAAACGGTTTTATAATTTCTGTTCTATGTATCATGTTTTATCATCGTTCCCTATCTGTGAGTATACTCTATGCTGTTTTGCTTCACATCTAGCAGAAGAGGGCCTGGCTCCGCAAACCGTGAAGGCTTACCTCTCTGCTGTACGAAACCTCCAGTTGTCCTTAGGTCTTCCGGACCCGCGTGACCAATCAGCCCTCCCAGTGCTCAAGAGAGTCCTGGCAGGCATAAGCAGAGCATATGCTGACAGGAATAAGGCAACACCAAGATCAAGACTGCCTATAACTGTCCAGATCCTTACCAGAATACACGACACGCTACTCATGTCTGCGGGCGATGAGGAGAGCACCCTCATCTGGGCCATTGCTGCGACAGCCTTCTTTGGGTTTTTCCGCCTGGGCGAATTGTTGGTGGTATCACCCAGGGACTTCAACCCAGCGGTCAACCTCTCCTGGGGAGACGTCGCGGTTGACAATAGGAGTTCTCCAACCATGGTGAGAATCCATCTACGCCATTCTAAGTGTGACCAATTTGGCAGAGGTGTGGATGTGATCGGCCGTACAGGCACCTCCCTTTGCCCGGTCACTGCCATCGTGAACTATCTATACGTTCGTCAGGACCGCCCCGGAGCATTCTTTTGTCTGCGGGACGGCACTCCAGTGTCAAAGCCATGGTTTATTGCCAAAATCCGTGGCATCCTGTCGTCCATTGGCCTTCCACATCACAATTATGATGGCCACAGCTTTAGGATCGGAGCGGCAACGACGGCAGCATTGGCGGGTGTGGAGGACTCTACCATTCAGGCCTTGGGACGATGGCAGAGTACAGCTTTTCTGCAGCATAACTGCATCCCGCATGGCCGACTCGCAGCCATCACACACAGAATGGCAACGCTTATAGGATTGTGTGATGGGGTTGGGGTGTCAGCGTGCTAAAATCTGTCCATTAACCATGCTTCATGTATCCCATCCCTATCTTGTCTCCCTTTATTTTTATACATATGCCTCTCTTTTTTAAATTCGCAGGATTTTTAATTTACTTGTAATTATAGGGATGGGCATGGTACCTAGCATCATAGATGTATGGGGCTATGATAGGGAGTTTTGTTCATCATCTTCTCCTTCAGATTCAACTCGCGTAACTAAAAAACGCAATAACATATAGTAATGAAATTTTGTAAGATGTAGATATCCGAAACCCGAAGAGACTGGTCATACTTATTTGTTGGTAATCAACATTGTTTACTATAAACAACAACAAATATCCCCAGGCAATACATTATAATGGATCACATGTGTCACAAATTGTAAGAGCTATGTGAACAACACATAATGTATTCAATCACCAACATTAAAATCACAACAATACATGTTTGTAAACAACAACAATAGCCTCAGGCACTTTTCTTTAACTTTCCAATGGTAGCACGCATAGAGATAAAACTTGGTATTATATCATTTCCATCACAATTACATGCTTCCATGACAACCGCATATTGTTTGAAAAGCCTCAGGCAATCTTCTTTAAAACTACTTCTTCACTCCTCAAACTTGCTAACTGTAGCGTGCATGGAGGTGAAACTTGGTGCGCATGTGTATTACATCGATTCCATGACGACCACAACAACAAATAGCCTCAGGCACTTTTCTTAAAAACTACTTCTTCACTCCTCAAACTTGCTAACTGTAGAACGCATGGAGGTGAAACTTGGTGTGTATGTATAGTACATCGTTTCCAGGATGACCACAACGACAAAAAGCCTCTGGAACTTTTCTTCTTCACTCCTCAAACTCTCTAACAGAACCAGGTATAGATGAAACTTGGTACGCATGCATATTACATCATTTCCATGACGACAACAGGCATTTTTCCCCATTATTAATTTTTTATAGGGGGCTTGCCCCCTTTCAGAGAGATAAAATGAGTGGAGACAAGTATCCTGCGAATTTAAAAAAGAGGCATATACGGATGGTATATAAAGAAAGGGAGACAAGATAGGGATGGGATACATGAAGTATGGTTAATGAAATAGATTTGAGCACACAGACACCCCAACCCCATCACACAATCCCTATATTGTTGCCTAGGTGAAGTATTAGACATTCAACATTACATGATAGTCTAGCTTGAAAATACGAAAAAGTCATGCTACTGAGTAACCAAGAGTACAAATGGAGTGGCACACCAGGCAACAATATAAGGATTGTGTGATGGGGTTGGGGTGTCAGTGCGCTCAAATCTGTTCATTAACCATACTTCATGTATCCCATCCCTATCTTGTCTCCCTTCCATCCCTATATGCCTCTTCTTTTTTTTTATTCGCAGGATTTTTAATTTACTCGTAACTTAGTGCAGTCCCCCGGCATTAGAAAATGGACAGGACAACGTACATGGGGTAAAAAATACACAGACTGTGCTAAGGAAACCCAGTGAGGAAAACTGGATGAATGTGTATACATGTTACTAACAGACATGACCTTTGTTCTCTGTGTTTCTGTTTGACATCTTCCACCTGTCTCCTCAGGAGGTCAGGATTCAAATGAGAGGCTTCCTTTAGCACAACCAGTACTGCATCCTGTATGTACGTACGAAAGAGCACGTTATTGTGTACATACACTTTTAACCATAAACAGGCTATGGATGATGACTACCCGTTAAAGAACACTCGCACACCTGTATTAGTGAGGATGGATCATCTAAGTGCACCAGCAGCCCCTTGTAGAGGTCCTCCGTGTGTGCTTTGTATAGATCTTTATTGTAGTCCTCTGGAAACGCACTGCAGAACATAACACAATAATACAGTGTACAATTGGTTGATATTGGCTAAAGGTGTATGTACATAAATATTATAGCACACACACAGTTGATGAAAAGAAAAAAGTTCGAACCAGGTGCACTAGAAACACATGTGAGTATACTACGCATTGCGACACTCACACACATGCACTACACCACTACAGTGGAACCCCTCAATGCGGACTCTTTTGGGACAAAGCAAAACTGTCCTGATTATCGAGGTGTCTAGGTTTGAATTATGACGGTGATGCTTTATTGAACAGAACAACTAATTTGAGAACACTGAAACTTTGTCACTTTATTAACAAGAATGTCCGCCTCTGTTGCTGCTTCTGTATGGCCTTTCTGCTCCAAAAAACACACACACATCCTCAAGGCACTTCACAGCTTCCTTAAAGTCTTCACTCGTTTAGTCTTGAACTTAATTCTTCTTCTGCATCACTGTTGTTTGTTTCAGAAGGCAATTGTACAATGGCAAAATCTTGTTGAAATACCTGCTTGCGAAAACACTTTTTGACAGTGAGTGCTACCCATCTAACTGCATGAAGGATTACTTATGGTTACTTCTGACACACATGAACGTGTGTCAATCTTGGATAGTACGAACCTCATTAGATATTTCCGATAATGATAATTCCAAAATCAAGCGGTTGGAGGACTGATGTTGGCGGGCAAAAAACCCATATCAGGTGGATGACATCCAGCATTATCTATAAACAGTAAAACTGATCTGCCACTCAGCCTAACTTTAGAAATCACTTTGTGCAGGACATCACCTGTCACCCAGGCTTTTGGTTGGCTGTGATATTCAACTGGTAAATCTGTTTTCCTTACCCCTTTGAAACAATGTGGATTTTCTGACTTCCATATTACAATAGGTTTGACTTCCAGCTGCATTAACTATGAAAGGAACAGTAATTCTTTGCTTGCTTTTCTTTCCACCCTTACACTGCCTTACTTGCTGGCCAAAACCTTTGTCTGGAAGTGCTTGCCAAAACACACCACTTTCATCCAGGTTCCAAACATCCTCAACTCCATAACCTCGAACAATTTCTGGCAATCTCTTCTGCCAGGATGAAACTGTTGAACCACTCACATCCCCTGACTCGCCACTAATAGTCATTTTCTTTATATTGTGCTTTTTCTTCCAGCGATCAAACCAACCATTGGATGCCCTGAGAGCATTAAAACCCAACTGAACGGCAATTTCTTTAGCTTTCTCTGAGAGTTGAGTACCATCAGGAAAGACATTTTTGATACTGCTAATAAATACCATCGATACAGAGCTTCATTCACTTCAGAATATTTGGATTCACGAATTCTCTCACTGGTGTGACAAATATCTCAAGCAGCATTGTTTTCATACAACTCCATGATTCTTTCTGTGTTTCTCAGCACCGTGTTAATTTGCGTCTTGCCACAAACAAATATTTGGCCAAGCTTACGAACTCCAATTTTTTCTCTCTCTCTGCCGTCTTCACCACCGTATTATTGTGCCAAGGTAAGTTCGGAGCCATGGCTACATGTACACATGGGGACCTGCATGCACATGCGCTGTTCTTTTTAGTGCACCCTAACCTTTTGCACCGGCAATCCATGCGAGAATGTTAGCACTCGTGAAATCAGAACTCATCTCTGCTCACCAACTTGCGAGGATCATTGGCAAGCTTTCAGCAGCCATCTCAGCAGTACAGCCAGCACCACTACATTACAGGAACCTGCAGCACCTCAAGCATCGAGTTCTGCGGCAGAGAGGATACGACCAGCGAATTCAGATGACCAAAGGGGCCAGAGCAGACCTGCAGTGGTGGCTGGACAACCTCCGCAGGTGGAACAGGAGAGAGGTAAAGCCTCGAACCACTGGCATCGAGATAGAGACAGATGCACCGCAGAGAGGGTGGGGTGCATATTGCAATTGTGTCCACACTGTAGGCTTCTGGGACGCAAGACTCTTCACATCAATACACAGGAGATGCTCGCGGCACTGTACGGGATCAGGTCTTTTGCACGGGATGTCTCCAACTCCCACATCCTCCTCCTATCAGACAACATCACGGTTGTGGCGTATGTGAATCATCTAGGGGGCACTAGATCGAGTCTCCGACATCGTAAGAGAACTTTGGCAGTGGTGTCTGGACCGGGGAACGACGACCTCGGCCCAACACCTACCAGGATTGGAGATTGTCCGTGCGGATTTTGTGTACAGACATCTCTTAGACAGAACGGACTGGAAACTGTATCCCCAGATCTTCAACCTGCTGAACTAGCACTGGGGACCATTGACCCTCGACCTCTTTGCAACCAGGTTGACAAGACAGTTTACAGTTGGAGGCCAGACCCGGAGTCGGCAAGGACAGATGCGCTTATCCAAGACTGGAGGGACAGTGTCGCATTTGCACACACCCCACGGTGTCTCATTGGACGGATACTCCAGAAGATATAAGCGCAGGAGGTCACAGTAACTCCGATCACTCCTGTCTAGCCCACACAGCCATGGTGTGCAACCATAATGTCAATGTTGGTAGACTTCCCCCTACAACTGCCAAGAAGACCCAACACTCTTCTGCCTTCACCGAACTGCAGGATGCCAATGCAGAACAATACCCCTCAGCTAGCCGCATGGAGGATATCAGGCAACAGCTCTCAGCAAGAGAAATTTCACATGAGGCTACAGACCTCATTCTCAGAGCCTGGAGATAAATGCCAGCTACAATTCAGTATGGAAAAAGTGGTCCGAGTGGTGCAGTCAGAGAGCTGAAGATCCCTTTTCTACACCCATTGCCTCGTTCTTGGGATTATTAGCATACCAGTTCTCGCTGGGAAGAGTATACTGGTCGCTCGTTTACCAGTCCACAGTATCCTCCACACATCTACCTGTGGACGGTTTTCCAATTGGACAGCACCCTCTAGTCGGTTGATACTTCATGTTAGACTCACGAAAGGTGCTTATTCAGCATTTTCATTTTTATATACATATATTCTCTCTGGTGTCTACTAGGCTCTCTTGTTTCTAATGGTCTCGTCCAGTCTATCTGGTTTCTACTGGTCTCCCCCAGTCTCTATGGTCTCCCTCGGTCTCCCCAGTCTCTATGGTGTCTCCCAGTCTCTATGGTCTCCTCCAGTCTCTATGGTCTCCCTCAGTCTCTCTGGTTTCTATCAGTCTCTTTCAGTCTCTCTGGTCTCTGGTGTCCCCCAGTCTCTATGGTCTCCCCCAATCTCTCCGGTCTCCTCCAGTCTCTATGGTCTCCCTCAGTCTCTCTGGTAGGGCTGGGTACATTATGCTGGCATAATTCTGAGCATAATAGGGAGACTCAAGCACAAAGGAATTATGCCAGCATAATAGATAGCCTGACTAATCTTGTCTGCGCATTGGGAGGGAAAACACTCATGTGTAGCCAAATCCATCTGTCTTCTAAAGCGTGAACTTCGAACTCCACGTATTCTTCTTTGCCAGCCATCGTCAGCTGCGGCTGAAAGGGTTTTTTCACTGCTAAACAATAGCTTCTCAGACAGTCATTGGAAGACTATATAGAAACTTCAGTCATGCCACACTATAACACAAACTCTTGATTGTATAAATGTGTTTTTAAAAGTGTTTTTATAGAGTATAATAGGTTAATAGTGTGGGTATTTATGTAAAGAATAATAGGCGAAACCTGTGAGCACATGACAATAGCATAATAGGCAGAAATGTATCCAAGCCTACTCTCTGGTTTCTACTGGTCTCGCCCAGTTTCTCTGGTTTCCAATAGTCTCCCCCAGTCTCTCTGGTTTCTACTGGTCTCCCCCAGTCTCTCTGGTTTCTACTGGTCTCACCCAGTCTCTCTGGTTTCTACTTGTCTCCCCCAGTCTCTCTGGTTTCTACTGTGTCTCCCCCAGTCTCTGGTTTTCACTGTCTCACCCGTCTCTGGTCTCCCCCAGTCTCTATGGTCTCTCCCCAGTACTCTCCCCCGTCTATGGTCTCCTCCAGTCTCTGTTTTCTACTAGTCTCCCCCAGTCTCTCTGGTTTCTACTGATCTCCACCAGTCTCTATGGTCTCCCTTAGTCTCTATGGTCTCCTCCAGTCTCTCTGGTTTCTACTGATATCATTCAGTCTCAGGTCTTCCCCAATTCTCCCTGCGGTGTCCCTGGGGTCTCCCAAAACACTTTGCCTACGTTGACAATTTTTTGTACTGTAAGTATTTTTACTTCCGGAACTTTTATAGAGAAAACGTTTACCTAAAATTCTTTACAACCAAAAGCTAGATAAAGCTTCCCTAAAGAGAGATTATTAGTAAACAATAGTATATACCTACTAGTCCTATTGCGAGCGCATGTTTACGTGAAGAGGCGTGACACACTTGCGCATGCGCAATCGCTATCGTGCGCGGTGTGGATACCCGTTTTGATTAATCAGTGCGCATGCTTCTACCTCATGTCTCACCTACGTTCTCAATATCTGTAAGCGCTTAGCTATGCATGACCGACTGACAGCACTTCTTTGTGATGGATTCGGACACATCACGGGAGAGTGTGCAGATGCAGTTGCAAGTTCGAGAGGTATTATAGAATGGGATGGCAAGTACTATTTTTAACTGCTATGTAGTATTTCGGAGTGGATGAGAAGACATGTAACCTTGGTACGGTGTCAGCGAAGGGAGAGTACAGGGAGGTCGAATTTCCTGCTGCAAAGCATCTCTTTTGATGTAAAATATGCATGGCCACCAATTGGGGACCCATCCATTGAGCTTGCCAACAAGGGTCAGCATGGTACAAAGTACAATATCTACCTTCCACTTCAGTCTACAGCACCATTGCACAACCAACGCAATTTGCATAATTTCAAGCATAATTTCATTCGAAATGCCTCTACTACAGTTGAACACTTCCACATTATAGGTCTCTTTGCTGCAGCTGCTGGTGTGATGGCAGTACATGAGCTTCTTGTCTATGTTTATAATGCGTGCCCTCTCCCAATGTTAGTTGGAGATAGTGAAACTGGCATGTTTCAATTCGGAACTATTACTGACTTCACATCTTGTTTCAAAGCTAGATGTGCACTTTCCTTGTGTGGTCAATGGGATTCTGGCCACCTAATGAAGACAAAAAGCATATCTGATTCAATTTGTATTGAAAGATGTTGTAAATCCACCCTTCCCTTTGTTCTGGATGACCCAAAGAGTCTTGAAGTTGTCAGTGAATTACTCATTGACCTCTGCAACGGGCGGCTCATGGGCAATCTAAAGGTCGTCCTGAGGAAACCTCGCTTTATTCGCTGCAACTTCAGTGATACCAAACATCACAGGTATAGTAAAAGCCTGTGTCACTAGGTGTGGTTAGACCCCTGGCCACAGATGTTGAGAGTGCCGCTCCACACAGTAACCATTGCAGTAAGCCTAAGCTCATGCTGATACATTTAAAGTGCAGGAGTATTGGAGAAACCAATCAAGTTATTCCGTCATCTGAAATGATCTGCCAGACATCAAAACCACTGCCATCTCCTATTGCGAAATCACCAGCAGGCACCAACCAAAGTGCAGAACTCTTCAGTAGAAATGATGAGGTTCGTCCCTCCCCAAGTACTTATGCTGTAGTGAGTCCTGATGCTGTTATGGAAACCAACATTACCTTTGAATAGCCACCACATCTTCTGCAGCCTAAACCCCAGCTCCAACCCCAACCTATTCCGACCAAGAATAAGAAGAAGTGGGGATGCGACGACATCAGTGGGTCCTGCGGCAGTAATGTTCTTCGTTTCAGTGTTGGCAGAAACTAATAGGGTTCCGTTTGATTTAACAGAGGGTGAATCAGAATTAGTATCTGGGTTCAATGTTGAGTATTCGAGTATGTCGTTTACTTTGTTCCCATACGTCGTACTAGGCAGAACACTAGGCCTCCAGACTGGAGCAGGAAGCTCAACTCCAACAATCCTCTACAGAAGTGAAGGACTTTTCCTGTTGTCCCACTTACATTATGATTCTGTTAATCACTTTAGGTTATGCTTGTCTTGGGTCCTCATTCTGTTAAACACTGTTATTGCCGAGCGGTGTGAGCCTAGCCCACCGTTCTGTCACGTGATTTGTCATAATACGCATGCGTGACATGTGGGCATTGATTTTCCTTCCCGCGTTCTCCAGCGTCAGTGCTACGGCTAGCTACCAGAACGTTTCTCTGCGATTCCCTGACTTACCTGCAAACCATCACACATTCAGCGTGGAAATCCACGCTATCCATGCACGTACAGAAAAAGTTCCACGCATAATAATTGTACGTCAAAAGTAATACCACTTTGCGCTTGCCGATGAACGTCATGAGAGTCCCAGCTTTGGTTCACTTTTGTTATCTGCTGTTTGGGTGGTGGTCAGATCCCTGCCATGGAGTGGTGTCAGCAAGGGTGTCTGCTTACATTCAGAAACTTGTTGCTGCTAGTCAGAAAGGTGTGATTTTAAAATAGTTTATAATAGTTTGGCTGCGTTATCAGTCCATGTGTTTGATAGGTAACAGATTTTCCAGTATTATATCACCCCCAATCCCCTCTCCTGGGGATTCTGATGTTGTAGTGGAAGATTTTTTTCTACCAATGGTTATTTTGTGGAATCCATATGCAGTATACCCAACCCTGTTCCCCCAGCATTCTACCTTGTCCAACTTGTAGCTGTGCAACAAAACATGCATACTGGAATGATGGTTCGTCTACTACAGCTTAGCCACGACTCCTTCATGATAAGCACAATGTGGTACTCTTTGTTAGTGCAACGTATGTCTGTGAAAACAACCACAGGTTGCTAGGACACAATGAGAGCATTTTGAAAAGGCGTATGATTCCATTTGAGCTACTGCATCGAGCTGGTTTTACTTTAAACATTGTACAGCACTAGTGTCCAAATGGCTTAAACTTCTACAACATTGAATCTTTCATTATTGAAAGGATATGGGAAGCTTTTGAGAGACAAAAACATTTGCTCTCTCTCCATGAGCGCATACGAGGAGGGAGTAGAAGACAACCCAGAGTTCAGTTTAGTAATATCCCTAGCAATGATATGATATCTCAGTGCTTCTTGAGTAGACTTTTTCTGAATGAAAAGGGATACATAAGAGAAACGGTGGAAATTCCAAGTGGAGAAAGCATTAGTTTTGACCATACCTCCAAACTGGCAGTGAATATAGGCTACAATAGGGAGGATGACAACTGGATCCACCAATACGATAGTCTGTTATTGGTGATGAGTGAGCAAGGAAAAGTAGTAACTTCGCAATTAACAAAAGGAACTGCATTCGCTTAGATAGAGACGTTGCTTCAGGATCTTCAGATGCGCTCACATGATACAAACATTGATGATTGTTGCAGTCTTAGGGGGAAAATAAAATCTGTGTTCGGAAGTGACATAACAGTAAAGCTGGGCGTCTTTCATGCAGGCCAAGAGACCAGAACGTCAGTGAACGCCATTGCAAATGAACGAAGGCCTGAAGATTTGCAGGTAGTTTTTTAGGAATGATGAGTGACAGTGGTGATAAACGTACTGGAAGATACACCTACACCAGGGTAAACCTGTCAAAGTTGAACAGATTTATGCAGACAAACTGGAGTGGTAACAGGATAGTAGAGGGATGCAATTATTTTCACGAAACAGTGAAGCCACTGAGAGCTTAAGCACACATTACTGTGGATGTCTCTCCGACATTCACCTGGTGCAGGCAACCAACCGTAATGAACGGATCCCATCATTATAAAGTCATCTTTAACACAAGCAGACTTGATCCTGCGTGCTTCTGCTCTCTTGAGAGTAGTTCGGAACTCATAACTCTTCAAAAACAGAACCGGACATCTTCTCGAGAATAACAAAGCATCGCTAACTCATCACCGCTCGTCCTTCTCTTCAACATAGCGACTTCTCTGATTTATGAAACGAATTGGCAATCCTGCCAAGTGCAACGCAAAGAGCCATGCTGTGAGCAGTCAGTGATTGTGGGGTGAATTTATATCATACACAATAGACATGCAAATATGTTTTTCTCGGTCACCTCAACACTCTGGACGCAGATGGGTTTCTCTAACCACTGCATTTTACTGCTTTTATGACCAGCAGTAATCATTACTGCAGTGATTGTGAACATAAACATTCTCGAAGAGAAGCTCTCAACTATGGATTGACGACTGTGTTGTAGCACCTCCTGATGGAGATTACTTCTTTTCGGCTGTTGCCATGAATCTCTATGTCAGATTATAAACAGCATGTAACATTCATATCAACCTTGCTGGTATTGAACACCATGACCCGACTTAAGAGTTGAGCAGCGACTGAAAGGTCGGGCGACAAGTTTTCCGTCCACGAGCTTCTCGGGGTACGTCGGCCGAAATATGAGCATTTGTCAGTCACACAAACCTGGATTATGAAAAGGAAGCAAAGATTTTCGAGAACGTGGATACTTCGACAGTGAACTTGGCAACCTTATGTCTCTGGCGTTATCCACAGCTCTTCAGTTATTTTTACAAGGGATAACACGACCCCTGCAATGTACATTACCCCTGAGATTGTAGCTGGAGAAGCGACTGTTTTCCTGGTATATACCTCAGAAGGAAAGGCATTATGATGCTGCGATTGCTGCTCATAAACAAGAAACCAGCCAACCTCCAGTGTTACAAGATGCAGGTGTGGGGTTAACAAGAAATGCCTTTTATAGTGCAAGGTGCAAGTGTTTCAAGCTGTCAAAGCTGTGCACTTCAGAATGCAATAGTGTTGGATGTGCTAATCCATTCGGAAGAAGATCTGTATTGAAGGTTGGATAACGAACATGACGAAAGCACATCATGCAAGTTACACTTTCACACAGCAAAGACTTCGCAGAACAGTGAGGAGAGAAACTTTGCAAAGCAAGTTGGTCAACTTTCGAGAGTGTAGTGTATGTATTAAACACAGAGAATCTGATATTGGCACCATTACCAACACATATAATGACATTGTCTCCTACTCAAATGCAGCATACTGTATTGCCACTTAATGTTGTATTCAGAAGTAAAGCAGAAACCCAACTTCAAAGCAAGGTTGTCCATGCAGCCGACAGAGTGTGTCCTATTTAGTGACTTCTCTAACTACTAACTAACACTTCTCTATCTACTAACACTTTCTGCATAGTATTATTCGTATTTATCCACCACACTATCGTTTATGCCTTAGGCTTACATTAATGAAAGAGCGTGCACTGCTAAATAGACAAGATAAAAAGCAAGGAGGCAAGACAGGGATGACCAAGTGAACGTGGTGCAGTAGTACAATTGATGATGGCTACATACTTTGAACTGACGTCGCTTGCTCGTGTAAAATGTTCCCCCACGCAAGCCCTATATTGTCTCAAAGTACGAGTGTGCTCCCTTGTATGATGCACAGCTATGACTTATTAACCCTCGGCGCGCATGCGCAGCAAGGGTTACAGTAGTCGTTCTGTCTGTCCGTCCGCGCGAGTTCTAGCACTACAGGCTACGAGGCGGCCAATGAGTGGCACCAACGGGTTGTGAACGATGAGAAGATTGATATTAATGTGGCGATTTTCCCGAAACGACTGCATTCCAGAGATATGGCGTGAAAACAAGTGAAGAAGCCAACGCGCGGTCGATCGCGCACGCGCCCTCTCCTGCAGGCTAGCTATATAGCACGCACGCGTAATGTCAATTAATCGCCGGAGCATGCGCTTGGTTGTATATGGCCTCCTGTCAGTTTTGATCTTTGTTCCCTGTGGATAAATGATAAACATGCTGAGCAAGGTATGTTCGCAATAGTTCAGGTGGCGAGCAGTTTGTGGTTGCGGCCTTGCCTTCCCATCTATAAAACGTCTGGCGAGAGCATTGAAACACAGAAGAGCAGATAGATTGAATAAAGCAAATATGAGAGCATCTGAAACACCTGAGCTATTGCTCTAACAACTAATGCAACTACCCTGTGTTACGGTGAAACTCGTGTTACTGGCTCTGTCGATGACGCACGGCCCAGCATACAGCGATGCTACAACTCGCTAGTTTACCGCCGACTTTAGTGCTTTTCATTTCATAAGCAATTAGACAAGTAACGCCATCTGGTCGGTTTTCAGTTGTGACTGCATTGCGTGAACTCTAAGACTTCTACATTTGCTCAACTAACCAGTTTGACGATGCTGTGTTGGACATACAGAATCCTTTTACCATTGTCCTCGCATTTCACAGTAAAGGTGGCGACAATATAGGGCTTCTGTGGAGGAAATTTTACACGAGCAAGCGATGTCAGTTCAAGTATGTAGCCATCATCAATTGTACTACTGCACCACGCTCACTAGGTCATCCCTGTCTTGTCTCCTTGCTTTTTATGGCATCCCTATACTCCACACTTTTTAATTCAGCTATGATTTGAGTGAGAGGGGCTAGGCACAATGCCTAGAGCGGTGCGCGCATGCTCTCGCTTGCTTGTTGACCATGCATGCACAAACAATGCTCGAGGTGTGAAAGCAAATAAATGTCTTCATCTTCCTTTTTGCCGAATCCTGGAGCTCCAGTGAGCGAGCGTTTAATCATGTAATGTCATGCATGTCTATGCTGCGTGAACCAAGGCACAGACTGTAGATTCACTTGCCATCAGCAGATGTTTTCCGTGCTACACTAACAACAACCAGCCAGCTGTTGACATAATCTACAAGAATGGGAAGATGGGTCTTCTCAATTTGTTTGTAGTTTTTAGTTCAAGTTGCCACGTATACCAGTCATGGTGAGAGTTACTCGTGCAGTGGACAGGAAAAGAAACTTTGCTTTTCTGGATCATACTAATAATATCCGGGCCTTACTTAATACTGGCCATTATGCTCTTTAACGTGCACTTTTGGCCATCTGATGTCATAGTAAGGTAGTAATGGAAAAAAGATGATCAATGGCACGAGGATTGACGCACAGACATTACACCAGGCATAAAGAAGGGCAAATTTAAAAGTCGCAAGACTGTCCTTTTGTAAGTGAAACAATAGCAGCACCGACAAATTTCTGGGAGTCTCCCTCTTCATATATTTCTTCAGCAGCCAACTGAAATATACAAAGAGAGCCACTATGCAACGACACCATTGGGGCCACTTTCAGAGATTACTTTCAAGTTAAAAGGACCCCATTTTGCTCGGACCTCTATATCCCAATCAGTAACCATCACCCGATCGTTTTGACGCCGAAACGGAAGTGATGGGGCCGGCCGGTAGGCCCACAAGGAACCAAGTCCCGCCGTAATTGAATCCCCAGTAGGCCCCCGCTGCGATACCATTAAATAGATGCCGTGATACACCTTCATGGATCGGTAGATACCCGCAGTTGGAGAAAGCGTGGCCTGACGACCAATTTCCATCCGTACTACTTCCGGCCCGCTACGGGGCGGTATCGCCGGCCATGTGCGCTTACCGAGCCATTAGTAAAGATTTACGATCAGGATTGAGTGTGCCCCCTAATTTATGCGAGAATGGAGGGCAGGGGATACACCATTAAGGAACACCCCGCGTGTGGGGAGTAGAATAAGCGTTCAGGGGTGAATTGTCAACGGGGGGTTACCCTCAGACTTGCCCCGGTGTCACCCCGTAGCAAGAGCTGTCCGCCACTACGCGGAACACCCTACACAGGACGGAGGGATGGGGGCTGGACCGGAGCGAGGTCATCGTAGTAGCGACGGGGTCATGTGTGAGTCCGATGATTTTTGGGGTCGGCCCGTTGAAAATGGCTTCCTCGGGCAGCGTGATCTTGGGCAAGGCCCTTACACGGGATAAGATAGGAGCCCGCGATCTTCACCTGGGCAGGGCGAATAAAATCCATACCTCACCGACACTTTAGGCAGCAAATGAGAACAGGCACTCAATATTCGTGGTTCCGAGGAACCGGTTTCTTTCGCGGGGGGTGGAAGTGGTGTGGTTTAGTCCGGTGTGTACTGGGAAGCAAAACATACGACGCCGGGGGTTTAATACTTCTCCCTTCCCCCCCCCCCTTCCTTCTCCCTTCCCCCCCCCCTTTCCTAACCCCCCAAGCCTACCCAGGCCCCCCCTCCCTCTCTCTTTGTGAGTCCACCCCAAGTCTGTATACCCCCACCAATTCCCTACTTAGCCCATTCGGTACCATTTCCAAGGTTCCCCTACGGGAACATCCGCCGGGAGCAATACAGGAAGAGATACCTTCTACCCCGCGGTCCTCAGAGGAGGGCTTGAGGGCGGAGGCTTTACTCCGGACACATGCGGACTTAAAAGTCGGCGGAAAATATGGGGCCCTACCGCACCCTATTGAGCACCATGACCGACGTGAGGATATAACATTTCTGAACATAGTGGGTATGTGCCCACTAACGGATTGAATGACACTCGTTAGGGATGGCGCCTATATAAGACTTTTTCGCTAAGAGATTATTAGAGAGGTCATGGGAGGCGGCACTGGCGATCGTGTTCCCATTTCAGCCAGCATACTCATGCGTGGCGTAGCCCGAGTGGTGAACGAAAGCCTACTAATAAGGGAGGAAGAAACACCCTAAGGGTTGTCTCCTCCGAAATCATCCCCTGCGTCCCATTTGACATGTACTGCACACCATGGTAACCAATGCAGCGACAGGACCATTCGTCTTACGCGCACAAGGCATGCGGCTTATAAGGAATCTTAACCTGGACACTCCATTCTTTGCCCCCTCAATTCAATCTGAGGCATCATTACCTCAAGGGCAAGGAGAGAACCTCCTTCACGTCTACCAGAGGAAGTCAATTATTATATTGCCTATTGATAGGCTCACACAAACCATTCCACTTAAGTCATCTCAGGTAAGGCACAAGTTCTTCCTTCTCTGAAGCTGAGGATAATTAAGGCTCACTCGCATACAAAGACACAAACACTTGGTTACTAAAAGTCCGTCTCTGCATCAACCCATGGCTACTCGGAACGAAAACCTTTGTCAAGCAAAGTGGGCGAGGGAGCATGCAACTACGGATAACGAAATCCAAACATGGCAGACAGTACCTAGAATTAAATATTCGGAAGATTGCTAGAATGCTTGCGGGGCAGCAATTCTCAAGACAGCCAAAAACGCTATTCGGAGCCCCTATGGTGTGTCCTCATGTGAGCACTGGGGAGCTGCGTCAGGCACGCGATGCAGTCGTTCTCTGGGTGATCTCGCGCACCTGCTACCAGTCTAAAGCCCAGTACAGTTTGAGGTAACTAAACACTCATTCTCGATATAAAAGCGTGCACACCGCTAGAGTGAGCTACTGTACTTTCCTGTGCCTGTGTCGTCTTTTTCCATGGAGGAACACTAAATGGATCCGGTCCACCATGTTTGGATATCATAATTTTATGTGGATTCCATGCTTATTCTAGCTCAGCGCAGTGTTCTGGGAGCGTGGTCAATGGCTAAGGTTGCTATTTTATTCAGGGCTCGGGTGAGTCGAGAGATCTAAGAGCATGTGCTCATTGTTCATACTAATTTCTATGTGCAAGGATTACCAGAGAAATTTATGGAATGCAAAACGTGCGGAGCATTTCCATCAATCTGCTAATCAACTTATTCATGGCTCCTCCACTGGACTAGAGGTGTTACCAGACGATCCCTAACTCGATTCTGACGGTATATTACGTGGTTGCAAGCCAGTGCGAGCTTGCTAGAGATGTAATCACCGCTTGAAATACTGGAAGACCAGCTATTGTCTAGCTAATGTGTGTGGTGCACTGGACTGCCAGCCACAAGGCCTCTGAGTTTAACCCCGGAAGGAGTGGTTCTTTCTCTTTCCCTCTACATGTGTATGCCGATTATCCCTGGTCATCATCTACTACGTCAATTAGAGATTTTCTATCCATGTACATAACTATGTACTTGCACACGTAGAAGTGTTTGAACTACACATCAAGCAAATGCAAAGTTAGAGTATCACCCCACTTGTTTCTCTAGAATGAGCAAAGTAATGTAATCCACTTGATGTGATTAGGTCACATGTATATACTGCACCTGGCATAGGAGGCTAGTGTTTTTTGCCACAGCATTCTGACTTCATCACTGTTGTCATCCAGTCTCTTAGGAGGTCAGATGCACCTGATGCAGCTTATCCACTGTTCAAAAAACAGTATCATCAATGCATTCATAAACAAATTGTTACCATGTTTGCACTAAATGCGAGATAACGGATATTATACGACCACTGTCACACATAATTATCACACTACGAAATTGAGTATGCTGCAACGTGCGTGACTCTTGCATTCCTCTTGCTAAAATTGTGCTGCGTTGTTGTACATACAGATTGATAGTGGTCCCCTGAAAACCAGAACATATTACAGATAATAATACAGGCTACAGTAACATGAGCCTGCTTTTATCATGGGTTACATATAGGCTAACCTTCTGTTTATTCTTCCACGTCATGAGAAGACCTGTTCGACATAGCTGCCTCCGGAGAGCTCTAGCAGCGAGCGTGCATTTTTCAGTGTTTAAAAGGCCATAGCTAGGCTGTGCTACAGCCGATTCACAGCAAAAAAGCCAAAACATCCTGTACCCAACATGAATAATTGTGCCTTAGTGCATAGCTGGTTTAAATCGAGCAATCTGATTGGTCCACACGAGGTACTTGATTTCCCGTAGTATACCTGGGACGCTCCATAGTAAACCTTGTTTTTCATGTAAAATGTTTACATGAAAATGACAAGATCACGTACATCATCTACAGAAACATGTAGCTTTATCGTCTACAATAATTCTTTTTTAGTTTCAACAGTATGCACAGAGAGACAAAAAGTCTGGGCCTAGCTGTACGTAAGCGCCTGTACGCTAGCGCTAGCGGTACGTCACGCCCGTGGATACGTGCGCGTAGAGTGGGCCTAGCTGTACGTAAGCGCCTGTACGCTAGCGCTAGCGGTACGTCACGCCCGTGGATACGTGCGCGTAGAGTGGGCGGAGCCCTTTTCCGCGAAGCGCGGTGGACGAAGAGCGGGTGCTGTATAAGCTTCTGCCTACCGTTTCTGGCTCGCCGCTGGTGGCTGAAACCTCGCTCGAGTCTGTTACCAATCGCGTCTTCACGCTCATTCGAATTTCAGTCGCCTGGAAACGGGCGCTGTGCGTGTGCGGATTTGTCTGCTCTGCACTAAACATGTTAGTTACTCCGTATACTCGGGAACTACGGAATTTCAATGAACCCTCGGGCCATCCGCGTAGTTGCCCTCGCTACGCTCGGGACACTACAACGCGGAGGCCCTCGGGTTCATTGAAATCCCGTAGTTCCCTAGAACGGAGTAACTAACTTATATATAGTTAGTTTGTGTGCAATTTAAACTCAATGTTACTATGCCAAGGAATATTAGACATCGTTTTAATGCTGTATGAGTTGCTGGTCCCACACATTTCTAAATGAGCGGAAGAAGTCCACATTCATGCACGAATCCGCAAACTTGAGTTGTGCGTGCTCTACGGGGTTAGTAACAGTTGGTTCTACAAAATTCCTGCATGATTTGTTCCACGTTCATAAACTCGTGATGCCAGAGAGAGAAGTTTTTGGGTATGCTCTGCTGATGAGGGCCACAAGCCTGAACAGCTGTCCAGAGCTTCACATCTTTTTTCTCTTGGCATCACATGGTTTTTTCTACTGTAGCTGACTGACATGGCAGAACATGAAGAAGATATTGAAAAACATGACCCTTGGTGCACACTGTTGTAGCAGCAGCCCAGACTGTACACTATGCAATATGCATGCACTAAAAGAGCCGCTAATTTATGGCCCACACAGTTTTCTCGCTTTAACTTTGACTAACAGCATCAGTGACTAGCGTTAAGAACAACGCTAGATTAGATACTCGTCCTCCCAAGTAACTTTGTGCCTCCACGGTGTGTTACAGGCAAGCACCAGTCAAAGGTTTTACACCTGCGTCTGTGTTGCGGCTCTGCCCTATTGCTATATGGGGGTTTTACGCTTGCTCTGTGTTGCTGATCTGGCATACGCCCCCCACTGCTGGCTATTGGGGTGCACTGTGGTGCTGCTCTGGCATACGTGCCCCCTGCTATGTGGTTTTTAACCCTCGCGCACATGCGCAGCGAGGGTTATGGTAGTTGGCCTGTGTGTGTGTCTGTCTGTCTGTCTGTTACTCGTCATCTCACTTCTTGAGTGTTTCGTTCGTCTCACAACGATACCACCAACTGAACGGGCAATGAAGGTCAGAAATTTCGAACGGTTTTCTCTGAAAACGCTCCGTTGCAAAGCTAGAGTGCGAAAAAGCCAATATGCAAATACACAACGGCTTACTACGGCCTGTGCTCTCTTTTCTTGCAAGTGGTACAGACATGCCGAAAAGTGCAAGAGGGGAAGCTGCATCGTCCCTTATTCCAGGAGAAACATACGCTCTAGCGTCTCAGGACATACTGGCCACCGGGCCAACCCCCGAGGTTCTAGGACCAGTGCGACTCGGGGGCTGAGGCTGAAGAAGTGACGACTGGGGGCTTGACGTGGCCAGTGAAGTCGACTGAAGCACTCGCATGGCACTGGTTTCGGCTGTGTTGTCTGGCTCATGACAGATACTGCAGACGCGACTGGGGTCTGCATGGTACGAGAGCACAGTCAATCTGTGTAGACTTGGATTGATTTCGTGCCAGACTGTGCTGGGACTGATGGCTGGGTGCTGGCGAAAGATGCGGTCATATTGCAGCCATCCAGACCCACTGTGCCACTGCACCTCTAGGATAACAAGGCGGCTGTAGGTCAACAGATTGCGGGTGTCCATGTCTGTGGCTCTGACAGCTGCGTAGGCAAGGGAAGCAGGACACCCATGTCAGTGGGAAGTCTATCTCCGCAGACGAGGCTATGCTACACCTGTAAAAAGGTGATGGTGCGTTGGGAATGACTCCAGCTGGTGGCATAAGAACATGGTGTCGGCCAATGGAAAGTGCGTTACCAACTGTCCCGAGATGATGTTTGCTGCCAACCTTGCCGTTATTGGTGGTGGACTAATGGCTTGACAATGGCCATGCCAGCCAAGACTTGCTTGTGCCCGAGAGCAGATTCCTGTCAGTGCTGGGGGTGGCTGTGACTAGTGCCGGCAGAGTCGCAAACGACTGTAAGGCATTGACAGTACGGCCTGCTGGTGTCCTGCCTTGACCGGCATGTCTCACGACTGACAGAGCTGGTGCTGGGGATAGGGGCACTGTGACAACAGACAGATACAGAGTCATGAGTGTGACTGCAACAGACATTTGCCGCACATGAGGGGTGTCTGAGTGTAAAATGGTAACTGTTGCATAAACTGGCCTCGCGGTGACAGTTGTGTGTGCAATGCCGCCCGGCCGGCAGCACAGGTCAACTGCCTAGAACCAGGTACACTTGAAGGCTTGCAGAACCGCACCTCCCACTCTAGAGGGAAAGAGGGATGTTATTCTTTGAAATAGGGTCACCTCCCACAGTGGCCATGCCAGGGGTGTGCCGATCACAACACAGAGATGTAAACAAACTCCAGCTGGTGACAGATAAGTGGGGTCCTTGGCAGCTTGGCAATTGACCACTGCCATATTGTCGCAGTGGAAACAGACAGTCGAGCCGCACCACTTTGTGCCGTATATCGCTGCAACTGGGAAGCGTTCCTTAGCCATGATGATGGACGACATGATCGGCAGCAAGCCCCACTGAACCTGCAGCCATCGTGTTAGCCACAAATGCTAAGCTCGCCAGCGCAACAGCAGAGCAGTAAAAGTGCGGGATGTAAACCCCTCATAGCAACAGAGCAAGAACAGCAACACCGCAGCAGAGCACGGCTTAATGAAAAGCACTGAAGTGCAAACCCTCTGCGCACTGTGACGCGCACGTAAGTAAACGCATGCGCGCGTACCACTAATTAATGGCTGGGTTTAGTTTTTAGCTGTTACTCGTGGTCTCTTGCCAGCTCGCGCAGAGTCTAACGCGGGCTAACTACATTAGTAGATAGGCGATACACGCCCTGTGTTGCATCTTCTGGTGCCTCCGAGGTACGCAGAGCACGCGGATCGATCAGAGACACCCCAGCAGACTCGGCCTACAAGTTTGCACCAGTGGCCCCAGGGAAGGCAACAGTCCCTAAGCCTGAGTCAAGCAGCCATATATATGCTGGCTGCGGGATAGCAGCAGTAGGCTAGTGTTTATCCATGGTTGTTTAACGATATGAGTATAATACAGTCCTAGGGGCAGAAATCCATCAGGGAGGTGGGGTCATCGCAGGCAAGCCAACGTATACAGTCAACCGGCTCTGTAACCCTCCGTGAAATGCACCATATTTTGGACCTCTCCTACCACCCCCCTCCCCAGAGCCAGAGAAGCCATCCTAGTCAAGATCAACCTCCATCAGGCATACAGGATGGTGCCAGTGCATGCAGATGATCACCACTTGCTGGGAATTCAGTGGCAGAACGAGACATTACGTGGACACAGCCCTCCCATTCGGGTGATTCGCTCATGGCACTCCCTATAATATGGAGGCTTCCTTTTATGGGCCCCTGCCAACCAGTCATGTGAGAAGTCACAAGGGTAGCACTGGACACAGAGAAATGGGAGTGGCAGTAGCAACACACAAAGCAGAGGGTCGAGCAACCCAGCTGACATTCCTAGGAATTCAAGTGGACACCGAAACTATAAGCCTGAGTTTGCCGGATGACAAGTTGACTTGCATACTGGGACTAGTCCTCTCTTGGCGGAGCAGGAAGACAGGCTCTAGGAGAGAGTTGCAATACCTCATAGGTCACCTAACATGCAGAAATGGTGGTGTTGGCAGGCCGAACACTCCGGCAGCGCATGATATAAGATGGCAAAACACCCGAGGCACCATGTCAGACTGACAGCTGACTTCAAGTCAGACATGTTCTGGTGGGAATCCATCTTGTGCAGGTGGTTAAGTGGCCAGAATGGCAGCAGTCGGCATTGCATCCAAGCAGATGGTACCTGTGGTCATCCAGTCGGCAATCTGGGGGAAAAAGTGGATGAGGTGCGGGGTGTTGGTCAGATCAGACAACATGGCAGTCCACTGTCTCGTGTCAGGAATGGCCAGAGACCGTCTTCTAATGCACCTCTTGCACTGCCTACAGTTTGTCACAGCTACTCATCAGATAGGCAGTGAGCTAGGCATGTGTGTGGTGTGGATAATACTGTGGCAGACACATTGTCTAGTGATAATATGATGAGACCTTTTTCGATATGCCACAGCCACAAACAGAGGCCACTCAGATCACAGCTCCACTGCTAGACATGCTACTCAACCAGTGCCCAGACCGGACATCACCTGCCTGGAGGAAAATGTGACAGGCACCAGCCCCAGCGCCTGCGTGGTCGTACAGGTCAGGGCAGACCAGATGTCGGGAGGTGGGATTACCACCACTACAACTGAAGGAGCAGAATTGGGGCCACCACGACGGCTGGTCTGGAACACTTAGTGGTAAAGATGGGGAATCGACCGCTTATCAGCGGTATATCCGAACTCACCGAGAGACATTGGCTGCCATCTCAACACGCCTATATATTGTCCTAATAGCTACCCTCGCAGTGCTAGCAACTTCCTATTGCACGGTTTATGTCACTGCTCAGATGATGAGTTCATTGTGGTTGTGTGGGTATAAAAGAGTAGGGCTGTGTGGTGTACTCAACTAAACCACAAGCTGCGATGAGCAGGTCCAAGCCAAGTCAGCAATTAGGTCAGGAATGAGGACAGAAGGAGTTGAGTCGCCACTGGCAGTCTGGACCACAAGCTTATGCCAACAACTACTCCTCTGCTATTCTATGGAGGCCCTACATCAGGTATGTACACTAGGCGATATAGTATAAAGAGCATAGAGGCTGCAGGGAGAGTTTTCACTATGGCAAAATCTTCGGTCCTAGCACTAGGTGCGTCCACGTTGTTTGCGCGTCACTAGGCGCCCGGGTGGACACGGCTTGATGATGCGCTAGAATTCAATTGACCAGCGCATGCGCTTTGCAGCATGTGTCCATGTTCCATACCCAACACGGACCTGACCGTCCACAAATAATTATAGCAGTGTTATCGCAAGGTGAGTTTACACCTAAGCGATAAATGAAGGTTAACACAGTTAGCCTAGGTTAATGACTGACGTACTGTATAATAGCGGGCGTGGTCGTGAGAGGGCCGGTCGATTCCAGGCGGTACCAGAGCACTCGCGTGCTTCAACCACGTGGCAACTTCAAGCTTTGCAACAGCAAGGGTTCACTTTTCTTAGCAACGCTGAGCATAACAGCCTCTCACACATCACTTCTGCTTGCCAAAAATGTACACATACCATTGGTCCAGAGGTTTTTGTTCATGAGCAATAGCTGAAAAACTTTACATGACACAAGTCTAGTCGACTCATTAGTGTCATCAAGGCATGATACAACCTAGAGAAGAAAAAAACAAAATCACATTATTACAAATAGGCTAATGTGTAAGACAGAGCAAAACACTTTCAATGAAAAGCACTACCCTCGGCGAACTGCGCATGCGTGCTACAATTAATTCATGGGCTGGGCTTTTATGCCTTTACTCGTGGTATCCCGCTAGTAGCTCGCGGATAGTCTGGCACGGGCTAGCTACAGTAGTAGATAGCATGCGGGTGTCGATACATGCCCTTCGTTGTGACTTCTTGTGCTTTCAAGATTCACAGAGCGAGCGGACGCGGTCAAGGTAAGCCTGTGCTAATTTTCAATTGGCTTGTTTGACTTGCTTTTCACACCATAACTTTTGAACGCAGTAGTTATACGAAAATAGCCTTTTTAAAAATGAAGTCAGTGTAGCGATGAACCCATGGTATCGTTGTTTTGTTGTTTCGTTGCGCGCAGTCGCAGAAAACGTGGTAACAAACAGACAGACGGACAGACGGACAGACAGACGCACTTACAAACCAAGTACCGTAACCCTCGCTGCGCATGACGTGCCTAGGGTTAATGAAAAGTAAACCCTCGGCGGAGATGCGCATGATTGCTAGAGAAGGGTTCCATGTCAAAGCAAAGTTGAGGAAGACCGCCTATATACACAGTCTTCTGTGAAAGGCTGCAGACGAGGTATTCTTGCTACCAGAGAGGTACATCTTTCCCTGTGCTAAGAAAAAGCCAACGCGGTTGGCGTGTCACTCAGAATTCAACACAACACTACAACTGAACAGAAATGGCACGAAAATGAAAAACGAACAAAATCTTTACCCCATTGCGCATCAGTTGGTTCTACAGTCAAACCTCCGAAAGCGGACCCTCCCTAGCGCGGACACTGCCCTTAGAGCGGACAGTTCCGCTGCCCCGATTGAATTTCCCATTATACTAATACATTGAAACCTCCGAGGAGAGGACGCCTCCGAACTCCGTAGAGTGGACACCTGCGCGGTCCCAACGCACTAGAGCCCATACATATTTGCCTCTGAAAGCGGACAGCTAGCCGCACCCCCACAACCACACCTACCCGTCCACTACGCTTTGCGTGTGCACAGTGCTTGTATTACGACACAACGTTGATAAAAATAAATGTCCAGTCGAACGCCAGTTATCAAAAATATTCTTCATCCTACATGTATAGTGTTTTCGACTGTAGAGACAGTAAGTGCACGGAATCTCCAGGCCGTATTCGACGCCTCTTGTTGACATTACCTCCGGTTACTTCTGCAAAGCCTTTGTTTACATCTCTTCTCAGAGAGGCAGACACTGTTGGCGCAAGGTTTTACGGTACATGCCCGACAACTTGGGTTTTCATAATAGACGGCTACTGCATGCACATCGTGTGCGTTTGGAGGCTCCCTCTTGAGCTTGGAGACCAGCTTTGCATCTATGCGTGGTATCCCCTTATATACGACTGGAACTCTACCACGGATAGATCTCCTACAGTAGCTAGACTTGACTGGCCATTTGGGGTGCCGCTTCGTCGGACGTCGCTCGTAGAATGCAATGAAGAGCTTGTCCTTTGACCTCCTCCACGTGGTCTCTACTAGCTTGTGCTGCTATGACTGCTGCTATGACATCAAAACCCAACAAACAATTCTTAACTTTGAAGAAAAAGGTAGAAGTTATAAGAACTGAGGGAAAAAATCGAGGTATGGGTGTACAGGAGTTAGGGGAGATATTCAATTTAAAAATAAAGAGTCCTTATATAGCAGCAGGTACTTACAGGAGGTAGAAAGTCTGAGTACGAAGAAATCAACAAAGTCCTGTACGACTGGTACACCCTTACTTGTTCAAAAAATATCATTCCATTGGGTCCTCAGTTAATTGAAAAGGCTAAGCAGATTGCTGTAGCTCTTGGAAAGCCTGACTTTAAAGAGTCTAGAGGTTGGCTAGAGAAATGGAAAAAGAGGTACAACATAAAGAATCTGCGAATCCGTGGAGAGTCAGGCGATGTTCAGGGACCAACAGTTGATTCATGGAAGGAAAGACTTCCCGAGCTTCTATCCGGTTTTGCTAGTGACGACATCTACAACATCGATGAGACAGGCCTATTCTGGAAAGCGTTACCAGATCGAGGGTTTGGGGTGAAAGGAAGTGCATGGAGGGGTGGAAAGAAAGTAAAGGAGTGATTTACAGTTGCGTTTTTTGTTACTGCGGCTGGAAAGAAAGTGATTTGTAAAAACAGAAAATCCGAGATGCTTCAAAAGGTTTGACAAAAGTCTCTTACCTGTTGATTATTACAGTCAGTGCATGGATGAATGGGGATACTATGACTTACGAAATTGAATCGTAGACTCTCTCGCAATAGTCATCTTGTTGTTAATGGATAATGCTGGATGCCATCCCGAGCATTTACAAGGAAAGTTTAGTAACATCAAAGTGTGTTTTCTGCCGGCAAATATTACATCAAAGCTTCAACCACTTGGAATTATTCAAAATTTCAAACTGCATTACCACAGCTATTTTAAAGACATGTTCTTGCAAAGATAGATGAGTGTCCCTGTACTAGTGAGGTTGTTAAATCTATCAACGTTCTTGTAGCAATCAGATGGGTTGCTATGGCCTGGTCACTCGTTCAAGAGGAAACGATTCGAAAGTGCTTTCGCAAGGCTGGTGTCCTTGATTCCGATTTAACCGTCGTTGCACGCGATGAGCAGGACCCATTCTTAGCAGCTGACTAATGTGACACACTTGAAGATTTCATCAGCACCACTATGAGTGGCCATGAAGCATGCCCAGTAGAAGTATACATAACTGGTGAGGGAAGTCTCCAAGTCTGTAATGGTCTTGATGACAGCAACTGGGAGAGTTCTTTCTTTGAGCAACTCGGTTAGGAGGAGCCCGAGGATGATGATCAAGGCAGCGAATTTTTACTTCGCAGACGATGAAAACTTACAACTGCCTAGAACCAGGTACACTTGAAGGCTTGAAGAGGTACAGCAATTTCTGGAACAAGAAGGACATGTGGAAGCAGCTTTTAAATTGGGATCATAGACAAGGTGGCATTTTTAGAAGTGTCAAGAACAAAACAAACTACACTAGATTCAGGGCTAAACTGAATGTAACATGTGTTGTAGTGATCTTATAAGTATCATTGGTTGATTAGAACTGCAGCAATGCTTCATATTTAGCAATATTAACGTGTAAAAGTGAGAACCTCCGGAAGAGGACAACCTCCATATAAGGGACAAAGGCCGTCCCTATACTGTCCCTTCTTCGAAGGTTTCACTGTATGTGCAACGAGAAAACCAGTTTTCCTTACATGACACATGCCTGTACACGTGAAAGCCTCATATACAGCAGTTCTTGCTACGTTTTGCTGTATTCTTCACATACGTAATGACTGGCTTTCTAGCATGACATTTAGTGTACTCTGTTTGACACACTAAGTCAGCTACATGCACATTAAATCTTTCCATGCACTCTGCCTTGACTGCAGAGTGTTCTCGGTTCAGGTTCCATCCAGGACAGCCTTTGTATCGTAACAAGTGTTGTCTTGGGTGTTGTCCATTTGTTTGTCTTTGCTCATGCTTTTAAACATGACTTAGGTACTAGGTGTAATGCTAAGCATTGTGGAGAGCGGTACAAACCAAGAATAACATAAATGCGCTTCCTCGCTTTCAGAACCACGAGTATGGCGACGTTAAGAGAGGCCTGTTTCCCACTCCTCAGCCACCTCTGATGTGAGTCGCTGCCTCCTGTGAACTGTTTCTAGCTAGTCTTTGTTCGCGGGCTTTCTCTGTTACTGAAGCGCAATGGATTCTACTCGCTGTTGGGTTCATGTGGTGTTTGGGGTTTGCCTTTGCCTTGGGCTGTGTTGCAGACTTTGAGACCAGTCTGCTGAGTTGCCCTGGTAGCACAGAGGTCATGCGTGAATGTGCGCGGCCACTGACTTTAAAATTCAGTTCACAGCGTGCTAATTTATTATTCATAAACACGCAGCTTGACCCGTCGTACCTTCGCAAGGCTAGTGGTCACACAGTCCGTAGTACGCCGGATACGGACCATTCTAATGCTAAATGATACATTAGAGCTACGACATAATACCTTTGGGCATGCGGAAAGTGTTAGCAAGTGCTTTGCGCACCATGGGAATAATCATAGCAACCAACTGACTACAGAGTGTATTCAAGAAGCCAAAGGTACTAACTTACAGTTTTCCTAGAAACAATAACTGGTCACAAAAAACCATAGCCCACTTCTGCAAGAATTTTTTAACTACATTTAATGAGGTTCGGTAACATTATAATACATGACCCTGTACACAATTTAAATTGTGAGGGCATGGGAGTATGCATGGGGACTGGATGAAGGCCCATTACCACCTCTGTGGTATGTGGTTGCAAATGTTTCTCACAACCACACCCATCCAGCCCACATGCACGATCATCACCAGATACTGGTGGAGAACAATAAGACATACAGGGAACCAGGTGGGAGTGGAGATGTTGCTGCTGGCTCTGCACAGAGGCCTGGTGAGCTGATGCCAAGTGCACAGAGCGGTCCGTTTCTAGCTTTTATAGGCGACCAGCCTTGCTGACGCATGCGCGCTACTCTCGTACAGCTTTGCAATGTCACGGCCTGGAGACACCTCCCTATTAACCTAACCAACGCTCATTTAACCAGGGATGTCAACACATTTAATGAGGTTGGTCCCTTATAATACATGACCGTACACAATTTAAAAATTGTGAGTATGGAGTATTCATAGGGACCCACCTCGTGGTATTCATAATTATATTTTTGTGGTTAAACCACAGCCATCCAGCCCCAACATACGTAACCCCAGCGCAGTGGAACACACCTACCAAACCAAATTTTTGTTCAGAATTCTATGGTAGCACACACAGTAGCAACCGACCATCAACACACAACTATGAGTCGCAGCCTGGCGTAGATTCCCGCTAATCTCCTCTTTGTGTGTGAATATCTCTGTTATCTGCAACCTGCCTAGCATTTTTAGGTTGAAT